GGGAGGGGGAAAATGAGAAGCTGATACCAAGGGCTCAAGCAGAAAGCAGGGGTTTTGAGAATGATGATGGCAACATATGCACGAATGTGCTGGACACAAATGATGTATGTACGGATTGTGAAAAGAGTTGTATGAGCCCCTAATAAAATGATTTTTTTTAAAAAGCACCCAATCTGAACCTGTGAGAGGAAGAAGCTGAATTTTTAAAAAAAGCCCCTAACCTCCAGGACACATGGAATAGTAACAAAAGATCCTGTCCCTGGTGCCGTGGAAAGAGTGGAGAAAGAAGGTACAACCGAAAAAGTCCCTGTAAAGATGATAGCTGAGGACTTTTCAACTTGGCAAGAGACGGAAGCCTACCGATTCAAGAAGCTGAGCCAAGGACTACGTCCAAAGATAGCCCTGCCACGTCAGAACACAACTAAACTTCTGAAGATGAAAGACAAAGAAGATGATTTGAAAGCAGCCAGAGAAAAATGATACTTTACCACAGGACAAAACAATCAAAGGACAGAGCATTTCTCATCAGAAACCATGGCGGCTAGAAGAAAGTGGCACGACACTTTTCATAAGAGCGAGAAAAGAGAACTGTCAACCGGGAATATTATGCTTAACAAAAATACCCTTCAGATTAGAAGGAAGAAACAACATCGATCCTACTTGCACATGACATGGTTGTCTATGCAGAAAACCCCAAGGAAATAACAAAAATCTACTAGAGCTAATGAATGAGTTCAGAAAACTCTCAGGATACAAGATAAGAATGCAAAAATCTATCGTATTTCTATTTTATACTAGCAACAAACAAATGGGAACTGGAATTTAGAAAAATGCCATATTATTTACAATACTGAAAAAACAAAGCAACATAGGTGGAAATCCAGTAAAATATGTACAGGATTTTCATGCTGAATACCACATCATACTGATAAAAGAAATCAAAGAAAATATAAATAAATGGAGAGACATACTCCATTCATAAATTGGAAGACTCAGCATCGTATAGGTAATAATTCTCATATTTATTAAAATCACAGCCAGACTCCCCTCTTCCCACCCCACTCCCAATCTTGAGAAGGTTATTTTAACATATACATGGAAAATGTGAAGAAATTAGAGTAGCTAAAACAAATTTGGAGAAATAAAGTGATTAGAATTATTTCCTGATTTCATACTTAAGTATATAGCTACAATTACGGAGACTATTTGTATTGGTTGAAGGATACATTCTTGGATCAATGGGATGGAATAGTCTCTAGAAATAGACACACAATATCTTCAATTGCTTTTTCACAAAGACGCAAAAACAATTCAGTGGAGGAAAAAGAGCTTTTTCAACAAACAGTGCTGAAGGAACTGAGCAAATAAGAATAATAAGTAAATAAAAATCAAGCTCAGTCAAAGCCTTACACGCCATACAAAAATTAACTCAATAGAGTCATTGGCTTAAATGTAAACCTTAAAATATCAACTCTCTATGGGAAAGAAAACATAGAAGAGAGATCGATGGTTAGGCAGAATTCTTTTTCTTTTTCCACTTTTTTCAGAATTCATATAACCGACAAAATGTGATCAAATGAATTTCATCAAAATTAACATGTTTGCTCTGTAAAAGTCATAGATAAGAGGATGGAATGACAAGATATAACCTGGGAGAAGATAGTTGCGAGCCACTTATCTGGAATATCTAGAAGATTCCCAGAACTCTCAAAACAGAACAGTGAAAAGAGCAAATGATGCAATTAGAGCACGACCACAAGGCATGATGAAGCATTTCACTGAGTAACATACGAGGGGTACCCGCCCCCCCCCCCACGGATTTGCTTTGCATTATTTTTTTTATTTTTTATTTTTTTTAATCATTTTATTAGGGGCTCATACAACTCTTATCACAATCCATACACACATCAATTGTG